ATCTCTGTCTAGCTTTACTTTTCTGTGACGGTCTTTTTGTACCCAATCATGTTACTGACTTGTAACGTGACTGTGTGCTATACACTGCTCTCCCAGTTTTAAGACTTCTTGCTGCCATCAAATCCTGAATTCCCTTATTTGTTACCTCAAAATCAGAGGTCAAGTTTTCTGAAAATCTTCTGAACGCGTTAACTCAAGAACGAGGGAATGTATGATTCAACTTTTTAATTAATTAATTAATTAGTTTGTTTTATAATTGATACCACAGCTGTTTATTGTGTTTCCTGATTATGATGTTTCATGTTCACATGCATCTTGAAAATGAGGTAAATAAATATTTATTAATGAATAGAATATATATATTTTTGTTTGGGTGAGAAGCCGTATTTCTTCTTGTTTCTTCAGTATTTGTGTCTAATAAACATTAAGCTGTCTGTGCTGTTTGATCTCCAGCAGAGACAGTTGAAGAACAGAGACAGAAGCTGCAAACTATGAACGTCACACAGCCCTCGACAAATGTCATAGTGCAACCATCGAAGGTGAGCAGCGTGCCACGATCACTCTCCAGCTCTTTAACACTGAGCTTAAGCAGAAGCCTCATCGCTCGCCTTCTGATCATTTCATATTTACTTCCCAAGCCTCACTACTTTAGCATTGACTACTTTATGTCTAATTAGGCTCTTTGCTTTAGACACTAATTATACTTGTAACTGCATGTTTGTGAATTACTGTTTGCCCCATTGTCTCACTGTACAGAAAACTGTGAGATGCATCTATTCAGAGCCTCCACATTAACACAAATGTCTGACACAACCCAGTAATCTAAATCTTATCCAGCAGAATAAGACGTAAATTGAACTTAAAGGCAGAATGTTGCACAAATCTGGTTTCAACATCGTACACTCACAAGGAACATCTCTCCTTTTCTTCATAGTCGTCCTGCTCAACTCCAGATCCACAGTATGACACAAAGTTCCCAGGAACTTCACACAACATGGGGATGACGATGAGACCTCGAGCAGTGGAAGCACATTCAACTCTTCCAGATCTCCTCGGGGATGTCCCCTTCACTTTGGCTCCTCATGTCCTGGCCATGCAGGCAGGATTCCCCCTCATCCCTGATATATTGCTGTCCCGGGACATAAATTATAATCTAGCCAGCTTTCAATACGACTTCACTTTAGAGAATTCTATTCTTCACAACGCCTAGTTTCTTTGAACTGCAATATCCCATAGTTCACACTATGGGGAACAGAGCTGGTGGGCTGCCATAGCTGACTTTATAACATATTGAAGAAAACAAATCAAACCTCATCTAAATGACACAAAATAAAATTAATTTAAATGTAGGGTTACTGATATATAATGAATATATGGTCAAATTGTACTGTTGATCCCAAAAAGGTCACCGTTTTATAGGAAATGAAACTCTGTGTGTTGCTCATGGTGTGAATGTTAACTGGCAAGCTGCTTAACTTAAACGCAGATGGACAGTTTAGGTTGTGATTGCCTAAAACATGCTAAGACATTTTACACTCTGTAGATATAATGAAGTATAGGGTTACTGTGATTAGCAAAATGAAAGTTCCAGGTTATTACAACTCTGGCCCCATTGTTGGCGCTTCAGCTATCCCTTTGAGCAGTTAAGATCATGTAGCTGTTTCCAGCCCCACGGGCTGAGGCCCAGCCAGCGGCCACTCCCCGGGCCTGGCTTCAGTGTGAGAGCCCAGAAACCTCCCCTCAAGTGTAGACTTGTTCCTTGGTTTCTTTGCTAAGACAGCAAAGAAACCAATGGTTTCTGAATTGCTCTTTATTGGTCTCCTCACCCAGGAACAATTGGGAAACCGTATCATGGTAAATTGACCCAACCACACGCTCCTAGGATCACGACATACAAACACCTCCACCACAATAAGATGTCGCAATTTCTGCTCTAAAATGAAGAGATTCTGTGTCTATTTTGTTTTCCTTATAAACATGCAGTGACCGTTTTGTTGGTCATTGCATGTTTATAAAGTTTGCTGTACTGTATAACCAGTAAAGCAAACAGTTGGGTTTTTTTTTTTCTATTCTGCTGTTTTTCTTTTTACAATTTTATTTGTTTCTTCTCTTTTGTACCAGAGAATCTGTTTGAGGCACATTAGCTCATTCCGACTGCTGTAGGACATTTCTTCGTTATGGTTTTTCTTCTTCAGGAAGAAAAACCATAACATAAAATGGGTACCTCCAAGCATCCATTACCACCTGCTGGCTGGGGCTCAAAACAGATTCCTTAAAAATCAGAACCACCACAATTTTTGAGAAACCAGCAGTCTCTCATAAAACCGACTGCTGCTGTCTTTAACTATGTAAAAGTCATAATATAGGCAGACAACAAGCAGACATGCAGCAGCTTGGTCCCATTCACGGCTGTTGTAGATCCATAGCTACATACCTTATATCTTTAGCCTGGATTCCACTGCAATGGAAATAGAACGACTGCTGTTAATGCGAATGTTTGCACCATCTTCCTGCCTGACAATATGTGACAGTCTAAGTGAGGACTGACATTCTGTAAAGATCGAGATACACTTTGGATTCAGGTCTCAGCACATCTGCTCTGAGACCTAAACCCACTGTTACTGGTTCCTGTGCCATAAAGGAGCAACTTCTGCCTTGGTGTCTTCCAAGAACTATCCATTATTTTGACAAAGAACTGAATGTTACATAGTAGCAGACTCCACGTCACTGGTAAATTTACATCCCCATAACAAC